AAACTACTGTTAAAACACCTACAGGTAATGAAATTACTGTTAAAAGATCACTATCCCATTATCCGCCATCATCTATTATTGGTTATCCCTAACAAAGCAAACAATRACTAAGTTTTTCCATGAATSTTGTCATTTCTAGGATCAAATTATGATGGACTACTGTTTATGAGGGGAAACTGTGGCGTCAGCATAATGAGAAGTGGTTAGTTTTGCTATCAATCGTATAGTTGCATGAAGGGTGCAGGTTTTCTATCAGGGAAACAAAATCTACTCCTTAGATTTTAGATGGATTTTATCCAGTGAATAATCCATGATTTTTTTTTTCACTATTCACACTTTGTACAACTTCATGTGCCCATTCTTTTATTCATTCATTAATGTCCTGATAGTTGCACTTGCTCATTTTCTCAGTAATTTTATCCCATTCTGTTCTCATTCCTTCATTTATCCATCCATTAAGTATTTCTCATTTTCTTCATAGTGCAGTTATTTAGTCATGATTAAAGATAGAATATTTACTATAACTATGTTAAATAATAACTTTAAATTGTCATTGTTTTTTTTAGGTGAAGCTATGGAAAAAGGGCTTAGAGACTGTTGTAGATCCATTAGAATAGGAAAACTACTTATAAAATTTGATGAGGAAACACAAAAGACAGTGGTATGTTATCAAAAAAATCTCTTTTAGTAGTCATGAAAGCATTGAAAAATAATATATTAATTAAAATGGGTGGGTGGAGATGGAAATTTCATTTTTGAGTGTTAGGAAGTAGGCTGGCCTGGTCCAACTGGTCGCAAGTTTCTTTTGATTTCTAGGATACAATACTAAAGGAATAAGCATGGGACAGCACATCTCATAGAATCAGACCTTATAGTATTAAGTTAACAAATGTTTTACCTTTGGGGGGAGGGGGTGGGGGAGGGGAAGTGGAGTATACCCAAAACATGGAAGGTATACATGTACCTAGACTCATGAGTTTCTAAAAGCCGATTTAGACGGTGTAACTTTTGCCTACAACTATCGCATGCAACATGCCTAAGTCATCCTTACAACGTGGCTAAAACTGTCGTAGGGTTATCAAACAATTGTTTTTCATCTCTACGACAAGCTTACGACAATTGTAGCCATGTTGTAAAGGATGACTTGCGCAGATTGACCTTAATAGATCTGATGTGTTTCAGGTATACTATGCCAAATTTCCTTCAGACATTGATAAACGAAAAGTGCTGTTAATGTATCCATTGTTGAGTAAGTTTGTATTGAGTTGTTGGTTATGAAAATTATTTCATGGCCCCTTATTCATATATTTGGTAAAGTRTAACATCATCAATACTCCAGCTTCGAGATCGTATTTGTGCAGCCTTAACCTCGAAAGCATGAAATATATTCTTCTACATGTATTTAGCAGAGATCCTATTGTAAAGCGAGCATTCTGTCTACAAAGAAGACAATTAATATTTATGCTCGATTGAAGCTAAGCTTGCACAAAATAGAATTCGAAACTGGAGTATTTGGTCCTGCTTAGGGTGCTAGTGCCAAGAATTCCCACTAACTGAGTTTTGTGGTATTTTTTAGTCGGCATTATGATATAATAAACATAACATATTGACACTTATGTTGTTTAAGAAACCGGTGCGACGGTGATCACAGCAATAGATGTACTGTTTGAACATGGTGTAAAAGAAGAGAATATAATTATCCTGTCGTTATTCTGCACACCACTCGGTAAGCAACGTAGAGCTAGTATTGGTATCCCTGTGGAATAATGATTCTGAAGAAATGTTCCACTAGAGTACAAACACCAAAACTGTGCAACATAAATACCACTAAGTACTGCTAAATTATGCTAATTCTATTGTTTTCTATTGTTTAATTAACACTACTTTGTAGTAAATAGTGGAAAGTCACTGTTGCACACATTTAATGTTTGTACTCTAATACCATTTTGTTTTTATTGGAAGTTTATGCAATGAATATTGCTTTATGTTTCTAATACAATATTACTTGTAATCTGTATTTATATTTAAGTATTATTGCTGAAATGTCTGTATAAAATTTATTATCGACACATTTTAACCATAAATTATATTTCTTACTTTTCAGCTATGGATTCAATACTGAAAAAGTTTCCATCCTTACTGATTCTTACTACTGAAGTCCATGAAGACTGTTCTATTTTATTTGGTCAAAAATACTTTGGTACTGATATCAATTAACTCAGGAAACTACTACTTTTCAAGTAGAAAAGGAAGACAAAATTCTGACCAAAACAGTTCCAAATGGTGGCCAGCAAAAGATGGTCTTATGCTTTTSCCTCTACTGCAATGGTGGTATTTTCTGGTCCCGGAAGCAGAAAAATGAATCAAATTCTCAATAGRAAATCTGTTTTATTATCTCTACAATWTTACTAAAGAAGATTTTGGAAAACATTTTAAAACAGCGTCAGCAAAATTCAACTTTGCTTCYTGTTCTTTCTGAATATATTCAAGAACGTTCAAAGKAATAATTAAATAATGGACTCTGCTATTAAAAAGTTTTAAGTTTACCAGAAGTCAACAAAGTTTTCATAATTGACTGTACCAGTTGAACTGTTGTCGAACTTCTCATTATCAGTGCTGTATTTTGAAAAGACTGGCTAACATCCAAAGGAGTATTGCATTCTTACACTCATGTTTAAAGCTAAAGTTCCCTTTTATATCTCTAACCTCTGTTATGAGGTTTGATCATATAAGGTTGATATCCATATTGTGTCGCCATGTACAACATGTACAAATTACAATAGTAAAATTTAATACCATTGTTAAAAAACTTTAAGAAAATTTTTTTTATTCAGTTCTATTTGGCTTTGTTGTGTCTGTCCTTTTAAGACATAAGAGAGAGGAAAAGATGCAACATATACCTTGACAATTTTAAAGTAAAAAGTAAAGCTATGGTTAAAGAATGGGTTTTTTCACATTACTATGTAATCCTCGTAATCAAGTCTTAAGCAAAAGAAAGATGAACAGCTAGAGTGAGGACATTTTAATTTTAAAAAGCAATGGTTTTGCCTCTAACAGCCAAGTGCCAGTCCACACTACAACATAAGTAGAATCATAAGTTGAGAACAAAAGAAAAGACTTGMAAATGACGACAAGCGTGCAACTGCATAAGGTGTCTGACAATCATATAGGCATATAGCAGAAAYAAAGGAGCATAGAAAAAAAGAGAAGTGGCCCTGTCCATCATTGAACATATACATTGTTGTATAAACTGATATTTTATGATATGCATGTTACATTCATTGAGACAAATAAARGTTTTTGAAAAGCTGAGCATGTTGGTATGAAATTATTGATATGGGGCTTCCAAATAGTTGTGAAAACTAGTGGTAAACCAGTGTGAGCTGTGTCGGCGTTTCTAAAGAAACAGCTGTGTAAAAAGATAAATTTAACACCGTAAAAAGTAGGTGAAACAACTTGCTGAAGTTTTGGACATTGATCCTTCATCAGATTTATCTTTTTACACAGCTGTTCCAAATAGTAGACAAAAGGCTTTTGTAACCACAATGAACTGGTGATATCATGTTTATGTCAAAGCTTTTAAAGTTGTGGTTAATGAATGAATGAATAAAATAATTTGTTTGAATTATCTGTAAGGTTACACTAAAACACTAAATTTTAAAATAGAAAAAAATAAATAGCAAATCAAATGTCGTCTTTACAGTAAAAGAAGTTTTGCAACTTGATTTTAAATATTCTGAAAAATTGATAATGAGATATGCAAAAAAAAAAAAAAAAAAAATGCACAAAGCTGATCATAAATTAACAATATAAACAACCATAAATTTATCCATACAGCAACTATAGTTGACAAAATTTTTATTTGGGTCCAATATAGATTAAGTTACTTTGAAAAAATACTAATAAGTGTGTGTTACTTGCTGACAGTTAAACCTATTGTATACTAGCTAGTATACATATTCCCTGTACTTTTGGCATTGGGATACTTCTTGAAACTATCTTTGATCAGTTTCAAAATATCCTTACAAATTTTGGGATCTACGTTGGTTTTGGCTCTATATTTTCAGAAAGTGTGCATATTTGATACAATTGTTATTATTTATTTATCATTTTCTTTGGCAAAGTTAAATAAAGTGCTATATCCTTAACAATTGTTTTTTAAAGTTTTTGACTGTGAATGACTAAAAGAACTAACTACTCATGCTAGCTGTATGTAGAATGTGGTTGGAGTTCGACCAGTGTTAAATAAGTACATCAAATGCCCAGGAATTCTTTCAACGTCTCGGATTCAACAGCTTCATCAAATGCTTCATAATTCTGCATAATGAAAAATATTTAAAAATTTAAAAGCTCACAGGGAATTGTAGCAAAATAAAATACTWAATYAAGCAATGATTAGAGAYAATTTGTATAAKTTGTTTTGATAGGAKTTTTTATMAGAAAAGAGTAGAAATGRAAGAATAAGTATGTTTATCAGACTYCATTGGTTAAGGAGCTAGTATTGAAATGTTTTGCTCAGTTCAGTTAAATTTATGTTAAGACAGGAGCCTAGTACTAGGAGCGACTATGATGTGTATTGGGTTTGSCCACAGTATGATACAGTATTACATACCCCACAATAACTGTCGCCTCTACAAATTTGAGGGGGGAGAGCATGAGGATCACCAACGATTTCACGCATCTTGTCCTTTGCATCAGAATCACTTGAAATATCAACTTGTGAGTAGTTACATTTGATGCCGTCCAAGATCATTATGATTCTTTGTTGTTTCTTCTTGATCTTGTGGATAGAAAATATCATATACATAATGAATAGACTGCATAAACACCATTTATGACTTTCCATGTTACCCAGGTTCATCGACCACGAACAAAGCATTGAAACAAGGCATCAAGGTACAGTGAGCATAAAAGAAAAGATATGTGATCAGTGTTCCTTGACGCATCGGTTCAATGCTTTGTTTGTGGTTGCTAAACCTAGGTATAGAAAGTGGTGAATCAGTTTTTACGAGTAAAATGGTGGATAAACTTGGGCTACATCGCCAGCAGATTAATGCAAATATTACCAAGAGTGCAAACAATTTGTACCTGCGCTTATTTTAATTAAAATATTTTTTCCTTTAATTCATATTACTCCAGTTTCAAAATCACTTTCACATAACCGGCTTATACTCAARAACATGTAGAATTATATTGCATTCTTTGCACACAGAGTTTTTAAATTACAAAGGGGGCTTTCACTGAATAAATATATTTACACAATTTCCAGCTTAACGAACAGTGTAAATATAAAGCTCTCGAAACTGGAGCATTGCATATCGATTCTGATCCGGCTATATATAAAAGCAAGCATGCCTTTTCTTTCAAGAATTACGCTTGAAATTCTCATTAAAAAAAATATTTTTTTTAGATCCACAATACGTAGAGAACTATTAGCTACAATTGCTAGATGTGTCAGAGAGGGCTTTAAGCAATAGTACACCCGAATAACTATTAATTTTAAACACATTCATGATTTATGCAGTTACAGCCTACAGTAGTGAGACTCTTTCGTTCTCAAAATATGACTATTTTTAAGGATATCAAAAACGAGCACTAAGAAATGACACTTTTCGCAAAATAAACTCTAAATACGTTAATCAAACCATAGAACTTTTAGGGAAACAAGCCTGCATGTCTAACGGTACAACTTTCAATCTTATGCATATTTAATGACCAGAAAATTTTATATTTAGCTTTGCAACCACAACAATCTRACCTACCTCTTGGCTACCWGAYGAACCAGAAATATATACTTGAATTTCAGCAGACATAGTTTTATTACTTGATTAGGGAAATGATGGCTGAAACTTCAGATTTTCYAACAGAGWTGAACATAAACAGACCCTTTTGGATTCACGCCCAAGTCAGTACCGCCAGGCGTTCCTGGCGTAAGGGACTAGAACGACTCGACGCAGGCTTCCTGTTGCRTAGCTTCCAGAGGGAGACCAAATAATAGACTTTTGATATCTTTTATTATTATTATTCAGTATTTAATAATTTTAACGTTAATTATTTCTCTCTATTTATTTTTGATAAAATGYGTATTTAT